TTTGCTGCGTTTGCTCATTTTCGCTGTTTTCGGTCCCGGCGAAGCCTGACACCACCGTTTTTTGTAATCGAGTTACTTGAGGAATCGTTGCGGCCCTACATTACAATATTTTCTGTTTATCTTGAGGTCAATGCAGACTTAGAACAGACAGTGAAGATTTCAAAGGTTTGAACATTCATTTGACTCCACACGCTCTCTGGTTATTTGTTGAACTTTATTAAACTATCGCCTCAAAGCCTTGGTGAAAATATGGGCTGTGGTCCACCAAGGGTAAAATAATGTGTAAAGATATACGAGATATTAATCACCAGATATTATAACCGTATGTTAATTGATTTAATGCCCCTTGAGGCGTTGCAGCTCAACTGTCAGTGTTGCAGCTGTGTCATAAGGTGGCAGAGANNAGAGAGACCGGTGGTAGTCTGCACTGAGACTCTGCAACGCACGGAGGACTCGGAGTGATTCTCACCACCAACAGACACAATGCTCTTTATCCGTGAGGTTGTTCAATCACCCAGTGAAACAACTGTTAACCAGGAAGAGCTCAAACGTGATCATGCCTTTTCATTTTGGTTGGACTTTGAATTCAGTTGTCCCGGACCCAAAGGTACACCTGGAGTAAAGAGCTTTCCACGCTGTCGGTTCATATGTTAAAAACCCTGACAGTCTCAGTTAGGTACAAACTTGTTAACATTTCTTAAAATGTGTAAAATCAGGTTAGTGCACCAATGACCAGGTTACCTCAGTTCATGTCTATAGATCGAACAATTGGATGTTTTTTAGGTGATTGCTGTTTAATTCAAATGATTTAAATCCATAAACCCATTAAACCCATTCACAGTCAGATATTGAAAAACAGTTTCTAACGCTCTCACTTCCTCCTCAGGTTCAGTGGTCGAGCTGTAACATCTTCTCCACTCAGGATCACGCTGCTGCCGCCATCGCCAAGTCTGGCGTTCCAGGTAACATCACATCTGTGTATACTGAATGTGAATTACAAAATTGCCTTCGCAAGTTTGTGCATGTCGGCAGTTATTACTTTGACGTACACGTATGAAGGAGGTCTGTAATTGTGACGAAGTGCTTTAAGTCACCGTACTGACTATCTCAGCCACAAACAGGAGCGGTCTCCAGGGTGGATCAACTTAAATAGTCTTAAATATGAGCTAAAGAATACTTCAGTATCAATAATGTTCTTGCAGGAGGATTAAAAATCCAGTATAAAGGTTTGTGTGTCCACGAGGCAGAACGGGTTGAAATGAGAGCGTTTACTCACCAGATATTGTAGATCAGATGACTTTATGCCCCTTGAGGCGTTGCAGCTCAACTCAGTGTTGNNAGAGAGACCGGTGGTAGTCTGCACTGAGACTCTGCAACGCACGGAGGACTCGGAGTGATTCTCACCACCAACACTTGAGATTCCCCGCCTGTAGGTGGGAAGATTCCTACCTGACTCTTTAGAGACATACTTTGCTCATTTGTTTTCTTTCTTTGTGTAGTGTATGCGTGGAAAGGAGAGACCGATGAGGAATACGTGTGGTGCATCGAACAGACTCTGTACTTCAAAGATAATCAGCCCCTCAACATGATCCTGGACGACGGAGGAGACCTCACCAACATGGTCCACCAGAAGTACCCCAAACTGCTGGCAGGTTAGTTTGGAAAGGCTTAAAATGTTTGATCTGTTTTATCACTGACTTTACTGTTGGTAAAGGTTTAGTGATGCCTGGAGCTGTTTGTTCCTGAATCTCTGCTCATACAGTTAGTGACCTCAGATCTCACAGGTTCAGTTCAGGTTGGGGTTTCACTATCTTACCACCAGTCAACTCGCTGTAGTTCGTGGTCTTCTTGCTGCTGCAGGCTGCTGATGATTTTTACACTTAACGTTTGAATTAAACTTTAAACCTGCAGTGGGGTTTTGCTCACTAGATGGCAGCAGTGATCTAAGTTACAGCAAATGCAATTCATTCATGTTGCATCATTCCATTCTGACTTAAAATTGACAGTAAATATTTTCATATCTTATTTTAGATATGTTCTAGTTGGATTTAGTAACAGTTTGGATAACAGTTTCTTCTTGGTGTTAGCAGAAGTTGTGCTCTAGTCTTTAAAGTGAATTATTTGTACAATGCAGCCAAAGTTTGTCCATGAGCGGGAAAAATATCCATAAAGATTTCTCTCCAGATATTGTTCATATTGTAACAAAAGATGGTCGTCTTGATTTAATGCCCCTTGAGGCGTTGCAGCTCAACTGTCAGTGTTGCAGCTGTGTCATAAGGTGGCAGAGAGAGACCGGTGGTAGTCTGCACTGAGACTCTGCAACGCACGGAGGACTCGGAGTGATTCTCACCACCAACACTTAACACACATTGCTTAACTGTAATTACATGCACACTGTTTTGTTTGTTCTGTGCTTGTGCTGACGATGTGTTTCATGGCGCGCTTCATTGTCCGCTTAAGAAGAACAAAAATTAAAGAGGGGGAAAAACGTTGAAAAGTTTAGGTTGGATTTACCTTTTAAGACTATAGCCGACCTACACACGTTAAAAAACCATAAACCTCGCTGTGTGCTGAAACTATTAGTCCAAACCTGGAGAAGACTTATGGCTGCTTACAGCGCCACCCAGTGTTAAACATAAACTGCTAACAGTGCATGTCACAGGTGACCATAGAGGTTAGACTATGAAGATGCAATCTAGTTGCAATAGTTTTTATGACATGAAAACTCATGACTGAGCTTTAACTGACAGTGTTAAGAGTGCATTGGGCAATTGTCCATAATTGCGTGACTTTGTGTTTCCAGGTATCCGGGGAGTGTCAGAGGAGACTACTACAGGTGTCCACAACCTGTACAAGATGATGAAGAAGGGCGAGCTGAAAATTCCTGCCATCAATGTCAATGACTCTGTCACAAAGGTATCTTGTCTCAACATTGAATCAGTCAGCAAACTGACTTCTGGCTGTACTGCCACAGTAATTATACAGCTTATTGAATGGTTCTGAACTAGAGGTCGTGGGAATACTCTGACTTATGGAAATGTATGTAAAAAATCTTTGACTCCAACACCAGGCCCTCGATGGGAACTCTTCTATCTTTCATGTTTACAGTCTGGGAAAAGCTTGATCCTGGTAAAAAAACATGTAGTGATATTTTCTGTCTCCCTCCTGCAGAGTAAGTTTGACAACCTGTACGGCTGCAGGGAGAGCCTGATCGACGGTATCAAGCGAGCCACTGATGTGATGATTGCTGGTAAAGTCGCTGTGGTAGCGGGCTATGGTGACGTGGGTAAGGGCTGCGTCCAGGCTCTGCGTGGGTTCGGAGCTCGCGTCATCGTCACGGAGATCGACCCCATCAATGCCCTGCAGGCCGCCATGGAGGGTAGGCGACAACAGCCCAAAATACAGTATATTTAGGCCATGAATGCTAATTTTAAACGTCATGGAGAGAGGGCTAACTGGGTTGTCTGTCACCCTGAAATTCAGGATTCAAATCTTTCCTTTAGACAATCTAACCTGCAGAAGTCATTAAATAAGACAAGAGTTTTCTTCAAAATAACTTGATATCAGACTGTTTGTATATAAAGCTCCCTCTCTTTTGCTCTGTAGGTTACGAGGTTACCACCATGGACGAGGCTTGTAAGGAAGGAAACATCTTCGTCACCACCACTGGCTGTGAGGACATCATTCTGGGACAGTGAGTTTGACCAATCCAGATGTTTCTCCTAGAGCTGAACTTTCAGTAGTTGAAATTGAATTCAGTAGGCTGGAATTATCTTTAGTATTACTGAATTGTTACTGTTGCACAATACCAAGTTAAGTGTCTTTACTTATCTTTAGTCACTTTGAGAACATGAAGGACGACGCCATCGTCTGTAACATCGGACACTTTGACTGTGAGATCGACATGGGCTGGCTCAACAAGAATGCAGCAGATAAGATCAACGTGAAGCCCCAGGTAGGAAGACTGAAACTTTTAATGATAATTACAGCAGTATTTCTACCCGTTTAAGGTTCACCTGTCCATTCAGCTGCCTGTGGCTTATATTCGTCTCTCCGGTAGTCTCACCCTGTCTACTCTGTCTGCCTCTCCCACATCAATGTAATCCTCCCTCTTCTCCAAAGGTCGATCGCTTTCTTTTGAAGAACGGTCGCCACGTCATCGTCCTGGCCGAGGGCAGACTGGTCAACCTGGGCTGTGCCATGGGACACCCATCCTTCGTCATGAGCAACTCCTTCACCAATCAGGTACTGTGTGTGAGAGCCAGAGGACAAAAGAGGCCTGTAGCACATGGAATTAAAACTAGAACTTCACTTTAGTTGTAATGTATGCTTTAATGCAGTGTATTGATTTGACATATTGACACAATAACACCATAGTTGCTCTGCTTCTGTGCGAATCTCATCACTTGTACTTTCTTGTAGGTTCTGGCTCAGATCGAGTTGTGGACACAAACCGCCAAATACCCCCTGGGAGTCTACTTCTTGCCCAAGAAGGTCAGAAGCCACAACACAATAAAGCATTTATACACCTTGTACACGAGTAGAAAATGAAAAGCTTGTGATCAAACACTCTGAAAAAGGTCAAATGATTTAGGACTTTCTTGATTTTACATAAAAAATAATTGAGTGCAAATTTCTTGATGTTGGCTGACAAAAGCTGCAGAGACCTGACGGTAAAACTGCCATAAGCCACAGTACAGCAGCAGGGCCAGGCTGTGGTAAAATCTCTTTTTACACGTCTAATAAGGAGTCATGTTCACGTCCACTGCTTGCAGAATGAAGCAAAGTGCTGTCAGATTTTCAATTCACCTTGCATTAAAACCAACTAGAATTATTTGTGACGTGGAGAAGTTGGAGAGAGGAGTTTTGGCTTGCCAGATTTGATTTCCACCTGCATTAATAAGAAGGGTTGTTCTTCTACCAACAACCTGTGAATGGTGAGGTTGGACATGAGTTTTTTTGGTGCAAGGCTTGAACTGTAGATATCTCCTGGTACACTTAAAATAGATTAAGCTAATGTAACAGATTTAAGATTTATTTAGTGTCTAAGTTCCTTCCAGGGATCTTGGCATGAAGTGATTTTTCATCTAAGCCTAAAGAAAGTGAAGAAATTGGAACAGGAAAGCCCAGATTTGACATCTTTAAACTTGTATGTAAAATGTTAGTCTGTGAGTATTCCAGAGAACGGTTACATCAGAGGAGCCGGGATCATAAAGCGGGCAGGAACTTTTAACCTGAGCGAAGATGCAAAACCAAAATGGGAAGAGCAGCTTCTGCTGAACGAACAGATTGAAGGTTTATTTGGTGCTTCAGACGCTCAGAAAGTAACAGTGACAGGCCCAGGAGCAGGGTTCTACCCACAGAACATCTCGCTCCATCCAAGATGGAGCAGAAAACAGTGTGGGAACTTTAGAGTTTTGACTTTCACACAGTTAGTGACACTAAAGTATGATGAGCGCCAGGACTTCAGACTGTGACCACAGCGCTATTCTGTTCGCCATTTATCAAGCAGAAATGCCAAACATTTGTTTGTTCCAGCTTGAGATTGAGCAGGTTGAGTTTTAGGCAGTTAGTTGGACAAAACAAGCAATTTGAAGACAAAAATAACAAACCAAAAATCGAATTGAAGAATTATCTATAATCAAAATAATTAGTTGCAGGCTTGCTGCTGTAAACTGCTGTATGACAGATACTGGTTTTTAGACCTACAGCATCAGGCACCAAAACACAATCAAGAAATGAGAAGTTAACTAAAGTTAAAACAAGCAAACAGTTTTTAATCTAACAGGCTTTTTGCTCTCATTTCTTTGTCTCCACAGCTGGATGAGCAGGTGGCAGCCGCCCACCTGGATAAACTGGGAGTGAAGCTGACCAAGCTGTCTGACAAGCAGGCCAAGTACCTGGGTCTGCCCATCGAGGGGCCCTTCAAACCAGACCACTATCGCTACTGAGTCCCCCCCGACCAGCTGGGGATGAGGAGGAGGAGGAGGAGGAGGAGGAGGTGTGGCTATAAGACTGTTGGTGTTTTGGTGGGTGGGAGCACTTTGAGAGTTTGGCCAGGTTGCACTCTGGGCACCATTTTGGTTTTGGATTTCCAAATGTCAACTTTTCAGGGATAGACATTTAGTTGTTTTTTTTTTCTCCTCAAATAGCCTTTCATATCACATGCTAAAGAAATGTATTTCACAAGTTGCATCTGGTGCCGATCCAAGTAATTCGGCACAACTGAAGTTTGAAACCAGCACCTTGTTCTGTTTTACTAACACCATCTTCCAAACAATCACTCATTTCTGGTTGAAGCAGGACTTTGGAGTCAAAATTGCCGCCCCAGAAAACTGCATTGAAGTCGAAAGTAATGTCTAACCCAGTATTTCAACTGAAAACGTATTAGTTTGTCTCATCACCACCTTACTCTGCTCTGACACACACCAATATCTTCAGTCCTCGGCTTTCTCTCCTTTTTCACCGATACTCTTCTGAAACACCATCAAGTGCTACTGCGGCTGTTAAAGAGAATTCCTCTTGTTGTTTATGTCATTCCCTCTCCATTTATGGAATAAAATAAACCCTGATGCTTTTCTATCGAGCTCTCCTCTCCGTCTTGTCGCGGCTCGAGGTGGAAGGTGCCGGAACAGATCTTTCTTCTGTATCTTAATGAATCAAGTCAAAACGGTTTTAGCGTACAGCGGCCTTGTAGTGTATTAATGCTGCCCTTTGTTAGCACTTAATGAAAACTGTACTTGAAATGTGAGAAGACTGGAGACGCTCATGAAGTGCTAGGTGTTACTGGGTATGTTATATTATCCAGGAAGAGAAGCACTGCTGCCAAAGCGACCACCAAAGCACATCATGTTCTTGCCTGATTTATAAAAAAAAAAGTCTTACTCTTTCTGTCGCCTCATTTTCTTGCTTTTTATTGTGATTTTATTTAATTTGACTTGAAGGGCCAGAACATGTGCAATGGCCAGCCCCCCCAGTTCCTTGTAATTTTTCACTGTAGCCAATCAAGGTGATAAAGTGGTGGCAACGGTTCTCAACAGTTACAGCCTGAAGTACAGAGTCCAACCATAGATTGATGTTGAAACTGTCGAGCTGAACAATGAAAAATAAAAAACTATGTTGACTCAGATTGTTTCTCCTCATATTGCCATGTGGTAGGACAAAGTGGAAGTCCTACTGACAGTTGAAAATGAACATTTCACACGATGAAACCTTTTTCTTTTTATTCCTTTAAAATATAATATTGTACCTGCCAAGTCAATAGCTGAGACCTGGAAGGCAGAGGGGTCGACAGTCACAAGCAGCGACACAAGACATGTTAGAAGCAAATCCACAGAGTAGTTAAAGACAAACTCAATTAATTTCAGACTGTCCTTGATTAAAGCTCCATTAGTTTATAAACTATTCATAGTTCAACTTTTTCACAACGTTGCTGTTGTAGTTGTGCACACATACACTTTCACTGTCACAAGGGATTTTTCACGTGTGCTCACTTTCAGTAGGACATCCAATTAAAGTGATTTTGATGACTGGGTCCCAACTAGCACAAGGGGTCAAAGGGCCTGGTTTTTAAGGGGTAGAAGAGAACTATAGACTAGAAAAATACTTATAACTCAGCATTTCATTCATTTTTGTGAACTATTTTTTTTGTTGTTGCACAGATTAGAATTACATTAAAAAAAGACAAAGATAACAAATAATGTAAAGTGCAGGGAGAGGCAGAAAACCCAGA